TCGGGCACCATGTCCCCGTCCCCAGCCTCCCTGGACTGCTCTAGGTCCTGCTCTGGCACTTCCACCACAGGATCCCCCAAGCCAGACTGGACGAGACGCAATGGTGTGCATGCTTCCCCACCACCAAGGATCTGGGCCAGCTCTAAATAATAGGGCCAGGTGCGGGGGGCTGCCCCAGAACGGGAGCTTTGCTCCCTGGCCTTGACATAGCCTTGGTGCAGCTCCTTAACTTTAGAGCGCACCTGGTCCTGAGTGTGGGGGTGGTGCCTTCTCTGGGCCAGGGCCTCTGCTATGCAGCCAAAAATGGCCGCATTTCACTGCCTGGTGTTCAGGGCTTGTAAGGCCTCCTCCTCTGACCAGAGCTCGAGAAGTGTCTTGAGCTCTGACCCAGACCATGCCGGTGCCTGGCGTTTGGAACCCCTGGTTGGGTCCCCAGAAGGCTGTCTGGAAGGGTCAGGAGGGTCTTGGGGCTGGGACATGGCTGCACTTGAACAGCTGTGTGCTCTGGCTGCTTTGCTGCCACAACTGGCTGTGAGGATGACTGTCCCTTTAAAAAAATGGCTGCAGACAGGAACCAGAGACGTGCAAGGCATGCCCCAGATTATCCACCAGGGCTTCTTCCCGGAGGCCATTATTTTCAAAAAAAGGGGCTCCCCGCATCCCCACACACTTATTTTCAATGGATCGCCGTTGAAAAAGGTGTTCTTCCTCATGAAATGAGGAGTACCGCCGTCGAAAGAAAAGCCGCGTTCTTTCAATTTAATTTCAAAAGAACATGGCTGTAGTCTAGATGCAGGTGAAATTTTTTTGAAAAAAGGCTACTTTTTTCGAAAAAACCTTGCAGTCTAGACACAGCCTTTAAATAAGTAGGAATAAGAAGTAGGAATAAGAGCCTCCGGAAAAGGGCGCTTTTTCCAGAAGATTGGGGCCAGTGTAGACGCTCTTTTCCGGCTTTTCTAAAAGCCGGGAAAAAGCGGCGGACATTTTTATTTAAATACCACGGGGGATATTTAAATCCCCCGCGGATTTCCCTACTACGATAGCTGAAATTAACATGCCCCTTCCGGAAAAGGGGCCAGTGTAGACGTAGCCAGAGAGGGCACCAGACAAACCCTTCCAGCCCCAGCCCTGCAGCCCAAGAATATACTAGCTTTCACTACCCAAGATGCTTTGAATAGTGTTCTGTAAATAAGACCTGGAGCCATACTTAGAAAAATGAGGAAAACACAAAACTGAATAGTGAGCAATGTGTGTCCCATGCACTGAATGAGGCAGAAGTTTTAGGGGTGGAGGGGAGGAAGTATGTGGATGATGTCATTAGAGACTGTATCATAATACATACATACCAGTGGGCTTAAATAAGGTTGTTAGGTGACTAATTCTGGTGTTGACTAACTTTTGAATGCTTAAATTTGTTTTCTTAATATTCTTCTAACAAATTATTTGTATGTGATTGTAGAAATATTCTGTGATTATGTAATTAAAGACTATTATAATGCATACTCAAAGAGATACAATTGGAGTTAAGACTAAAGAATGAGCAGACTTTGTAACTGTGTCATATTTTTAAAAATCTGATGTTATGTGAAGGCTAGAATAAAGAGTTGTGTTTATCTTTGAAGGAGTTGGAGTTCATGGTCATCCTCCATCTTTTAGAGATGGAGTTCCTGATTTGCTGATCAATTACTGTGAAAACTGTCTTTTCTATACACCAAGAATTATAGCACTTGAAGGAACCTTGGATAGTCATCAAATTCATTTCCCTGCACTTGTGGCAGGACTAAGCACCATCTTGACCACCAGGTGTTTGTCTAACCTGCTCTTAAAAATCTCCAAAGGTGGAGATTCTGCAACCTTACTAAGCAATTTATTCCAATGGTTAACCACACTGACAGGAAGGGTTGTTTTTTTTTTCTAATGTCCAACCTAAACCTCCCTTGCTGCAATTTAAGCCCATTGCTTCTTGTCTTATCATCAGAAGTTAAGGAGAATAATTTTTCTCTCTCTTCCTTGTAACAACTTTTTAGGCACTTGAAAACTGTTATCATGTCCCCTCTCAGTCTTCCCCAGATTAAACAAATCAATTTTTTTTTCAATCTTCTCTCACAGGTTATGTTTCCTAGACCTTTACTAATTTTGTTGTTCTTCTCTGAATTGTTCCCCATTTATTTATAAATTTCCTGATTTGTGGCACCATATCAGTACAGATTATGAGGGAAAATGTACTTTTGTCTTTCTTACAGCACTCTTGCTAATATATCCCAGGATGATGTTTGCTCTTTTTTTTTTTTTTTGCAACAGTGTTACACTGTTGACTCATATTTAGCTTATGGTCCACTGTGACCCCTAGCTTCCTTTCCACTGAAATAATTGCCAGTAGCTAAGAAACCCTTTACTTGTCTAGATTAATGTAACATGTTTTAAAATGTAACTATGTATTTGAATAAACTTACACTTGACAATTTCCTGGGAACCTTTAAAGCACATATTTTCAAAAACATATTACTCAGATTTATTTTAATGAGCTATGAAGCCAAAATTTCACCTAGTCTAAGAGCCAGTCTGCAAAATTACTTTCACCAACTGCCTAGAATTTACATGTGCTCTCATTTGTGCAATAGACACTAAGGAATTTACATGTGTAAACAGTTGAGGTGTTCATGCAAATTTAGAGATTTTTTGGAAATTTGATCCTAGATATTGCAGGAGTGGTTTGCACAAAAATATATTCAGAAACTCCTAATTCTGAACAAAATAAAAATTTCCAGCAGATGGTGGCAATAAAATACATTCCTCCACCATCATAATATTTTAAATTAAGGTAGGTTTTGGGAGAAAGTTTCCCCCTCCAGAAAATAAACTTCTGCTTTTCCTGTGTCTTTTTCAGGCTCGTTGAGCTGACAGCTCCACAAGCAAGATGGCTGCCATCAAAAATTAGAGCCTTCAGCTGAGGGTCATGTGATCTAGTCTCTTTAGGATCTGTATGAGCACAGCAGCAAGCTATCCAGTAGTCAGTGCTGCGAGCAGACTTGCTGAAAGCTCTGAAGACTTGAAGATTTTCTGCAATCTGTGAAGCGTCAAGACGGCAGATAGATGAAATGCATGCTGATTCTATTACATGGATGCTCCGTCATGTATTACAATTTTTAGAGAGATTTGTTCTTGTTCTGGGGATACACTCACAGAAGGTCACATAGGATTATTTGGTTTTGTTTGGTTCGGTTCATTGAAGACTGGAGTATTATCTGTTTTGGGATTTAATATATCTATTTATATATATTTCATGGGAAAAGCCAGAGCTCTGTGGAAGCCATTGAACATTTACTTTCCTCTGGAATTTAAGTGTCTTCTTACTATCAAGTAAGCAAGAATGTGTATGCAAAACATTCATTTTTCACAGTAAGAAAAATGGAAATAGTGTGCTAAGACAATTGTAAGAGGTTGGCACTGAAAAAGATATGCTTTTCCTCTCGCTCTTATTTTTTTTAAGATAAGCAAAAACTGAGAATTGGGATGGGGGGGAAACAGTCGATTGTTCTGTAAATTTTCCAGACCTGTTCTAATATACAATAAATTATTTTATTGTGATGTGCTGGGAGGGTGACGTGGTGTGAACTGTATTTTTTCTCATTCATGTTTGTTGCAGTAAAACATGCTGAGGAAACACTATGTATGGTATGGAGAAACAAAACATAGGGGAAAAGTAATAGCAAGGCAGAGTCCGTTCTCCACCCCCTACTGTCAGCCTTTCCTGAATATAATGATTCACAAGGTAGAGAGATGACAAGTCAAACCTGCTTTCTAGGACACAAATTCAGTGAAAATATTGCTAGGTACAATGAACTTGACTTCATTCACAAAAGCAGGGTTTTGTTTTGGTTGTCAGTAAACTTTGTTCAGTGAAAAGCACTAGTTCAATGATGTGTGATTATTAGGTAGGGAAAAGGAAGAAAGAACACTCATCATGGGATACAATAGAAGCTGGATTTCAAGGAATGAAAGTGACCATGCCCTCTATCAGGATGTCACCAGAACTTTAGAAATTAGGAATGCATCTAATACACAAATTGTGTGGAACAACAAAAGCTACAGTGGGATTGGACCTTTGGAAAATGGGGAATACAGTGAGGCGCAAACCTACAGATACTTCACTACCACTGTGCAAATTGTCATCTTTATAGGCTCTCTGCTGGGTAAGTAAGCACTGTTGCAGTTTTTTCTGTAATGTTGGTTTACTGGTGGTTGCAGTCAGTGACCCACACATCCAAACAGTAATTATTGTGGTCACAAATTACTATCACAAGGGTATCCCTTGATTGTCATTTCAGGTTTTTGCTGTCTCCTCCAGTGAAATTAATAAGTGTGGCTGAGCATATTCTGTAGGTTTCTGATACTTTGTGCAGTATCAATTATTGCTATAAAAATTAAGCAGTTGAAATTGCCACAAAATGCATATGTATTATTTAGTAAACTTTCCTTTGGGCACTCAAATAGATGAAAGAATGATGCATTGATTTTGCACTTATTTTCAAAGGTAACGAACTAACCAATAATTACAATAGAAATTAATTTAAATTGTTTTGAATAAACAATTCTGGATATTTATACTCAAGACAATCCATTTTACATTGGTCTCCTGCAGATTTCAGTGTCGTTTATAAATGTTCTTTGTGCTGTCCATTGTTAGCCATGTGATAGTGTATTTGCCATCTAATAGCTAACAAACTTAATTAAGATCATGTACAGCTTAGATACATGGTAGTAACTGAGAATATATTATTACAAAACATTGCACATCTATGTATATTTGCTTTGTAAGAGTTTACAGTG